AGGATGGGGCGCCAAGCCATCGCAGGGCACAAGGCAGGGAACAGCCCAGGATGGGGCGCCAAGCCATCGCAGGGCACAATCACACACCATTCACAGCTACGGGCAATTTGGTTACTCCAATTAACCTCAGTATGTTTTTGGACTGTGGGGGGAAACCGGAGAACCCAGAGGAAACCCCGCAATGACATGGGGAGAACATGCAACCTGTACACGCATGGAACCTAGGTGGAGACTGGAACCCAGGTCCAAGAGGTGTGAGACTATAGAGCTAACCATTGCATCACCGTGCATCATCATCACCGCAACTGAAAATCATGCATAAGAAAGAAAGGAATTGGATTAAAATGATTCTTAAGTTGCATCTGAAAATTCTAAACTGCACAGAAAACAGCTGAAGAGCAAATTTCGAAAATTTCTAAAAATTGCATTTTTAGTTGTTTTTGAGATGAGACTACCAGTGACTTAAAGTCAGACCTCCTCATCAAACGTTAAAGTATCGGGAAACAAAACTCAGTCCTCAGCCAAGAAGGAACTTTTTAAAAATCTGAACAAGTCCACAAAATGTTCTTGACAACACAACCCATGGACTGAGTGAGTTTTGGAAACTTGCTCTTGGATTACAAACTTCAGACCAGAAGATGTGGGCTGTATAAGCACGAGTGACTGAAAGTCTGCTCTGTCCACGATGCTGTAAAATCGACCGGCAGCCAATAGCGACGGAGGTGTGATCCATGCGTTCAGCAACACACTGGGTCTTTACCAGAGCTCTGCAGTATCACACACAATATACCAGTTCAGCAGCCTCATCTGCTCATCCCAGCAAGGGGCTCAGAGGCCAAGAACATCTCTGTAAAAGGGAGACCGCCGACGGCCGGTGTCATACCCTCCAGAAGAATTCAGCACCCTAGAGAGGCCGCTCTGGTGCACCAATATCTTGCCGGCACACAATTTAATTTTCCCCTTTTATCGCAGCCGTTGTGAAGACGCCTCACTTGAAAGGCGCTGGTCCTTTCAGGCAGAAGAGTGGCGTGACACAGGGGTCCGGTCCCCCTCTTTCTTTTTTTTTGGAGGGTTGGAGTGGACGGGGGGGGAATTCCGGCCTTTCTCTTCCCCCGCCCCCCCCGCCTTGCACCCTCCAGCGGTCTGTGGCAGCACCGCCGGCATTATGTGGCTCACAAAGCACAGGAAACATGGAGGCGACCCCCCCGGCCTAGAGGTCGGGTCAATCATTCTGTCCTGTCTACCTCTACCGTCCTGATGATCTATGCCGGGGGGTTGATTCCCGACAGTGATGTCACAGCCACAACATCTGCAGATGGCACTGAAAAGCTACATTCCAAGTTACTTAACAGTTCAGGAAAAGCAGTAGAGAGGTACAAGTGACCAGGTACACCAGCCCTGTGCTGAGCACCACATCCGTGCAAATGTCCTGGAGAGCTGCTCCTTCGCTGCCCTGGCTCTCCTCTGGTGGCCCTAGCTGTGAGGAGGGTTTCTTCGGTTTCCCTTGTGCAGAAGTCTAAATGCCGTCCCCCCCACTGTTTTTGTAGAACTTGACTCCACTCTTACGCCCAAATAAAGTTCCTGACTGCAAACGCTGTGGTTCTGTTCAGTGAGACGCGTATCTTATTCAAGAAAAGGAGAGCTTACATAAAGTACACAGCACACCGTGGCTCTGTAGTCCATTATATGTGCATGGAGGCATAACTGTGAATGTTTTTGCACATTAAATATTGTACATGCATGAAAATGAGTGAAAATACTAACCCCAAAGTTTAGTTTGCCTTGTGGTTGTGATGCAATGGCAGCATTCCCATGCTTCGCCGGTCCACCGTCTCTCAGGAGAAATATTCCTCTTCATTTGACCCTTGGGGTTTCAAGGGGTGGGAGGGGGTATCCACAGTTACCATGGAGACCACACTGTGGAAATGAATTGAAACATGGTCGGGTCGAGCTGGCTCTGATCAGCACAATGGCTGTGACATTAGGGCTGATTAGGACAAGTAATGGGATTAGGCAAGGGACACCTGGGAGGGGGTGAGCAGGAACCACGCCGGGGGGGTGGGCTGGGGGGGGGTTACTCTGCTTGTTTTATTGTTGACAGGAATAGAGCAGGTGTAATTTAACAGAGGCGTCTGTAAAATGGGAACCATTTAGCCTGTAGCACTGGAGGTCAGAAATTAAAACAGTGAAAAATGTCAGGTATGTCAATAATATGGTTAATCCATCCATCTATGTAAATTTAAATTAATTTATAATACCTGACTGAAAGCAATCATTTGAAAAAAATGTTGCAGCCAGCATCAGACGCTGCCTTGGGCTTCCCACTGTCCCAGTCAAAGCCGCCCAGATTCCAGCACTCAGCCTGGGCCGCCCAGTCAATTAATAAGACATTGTCTCCTCCCCCGGGAAGCCGGCTAGCAGGCCACCCAGAAGTGCTCCAGCGGCCTGGCTCTCCTCTGGTGGCCCTGAATGGTGTCGGCTGTCAGGATGGCCTGGGTCACGGGAGGGGTGTAGGAAACGTTGTCAGGCTGACGCAGCAGAGCTCAGAGCTCCTGTGGAACAGGGGAGATCACTACGACTGGCCCTCGCCAGCAAGCTCTGGCTGTAGGTAGGATAGGCGGTGACCTGGGGCCCTCCAATGACCTGCGTTACGGACAATGTCAAATGATCATCAATTTTCTTGGTAGGGCGGCCTACCAAAGTAAAGCTTTGTCTAGGGCCCCTTCCACCTAACCTTTTATCACTACTCTTCCCCCATCCCTAACAGCAAACACATTACCTCATGCACCCTGGGTGGCTCTCCAGCCTGTCACTCACTCATGTACCAATCAGCCGCTCAGAGACTGAAAGGCGCGGGTCCGTAGATCACAACCACTCTAATAAGTTTGAAGATGGCTAATAGCTATTATGGCGAATTTCACAAAAGAAAGCAACTGATAGATTGCACATCAACATTGCGACACCTCGCTTTTCTGTTTTCTTTGACTGCTGTGCTCAAACAGCAATCCAACCACCAAGTAGCACTAATTGACCTCAATCTCAAGCAGGCCAATTTAAGATACTCTGTCTGTAGTAGTAGGGCAGCACAGTGGCGCTGTGGTTAGTATGTCTGCAGTAATAGGGCAGTACAGTGGTCCAGTGGTTATCACGTCTGCAGTAGTAGTTAAGCACAGTGGTGCAGTGGTTAGCATGTCTGCAGTAATAGGGCAGTACAGTGGTGCAGTGGTTAGCATGTCTGCAGTAATAGGGCAGTACAGTGGTGCAGTGGTTCTCCTCCAGTGCTGCCATGGGGTTTCCTCTGTGTGCTCTGGTCTCCCCCCACAGTCCAGAAACAGCTAATGTTACCAAATTGTCTGTAAGTATGAACGGCGTGCCTGCCCCCTGTTATTCCCTGCCTTACGTCCAATGCTTTCAGGATTGGCTCTGGACCCCCCCTACCAACCCTGAATAGGACCAGCAGGTACAGAAAATGGATGGATGTCTGCAGTAGTACATGTTGTCAGTGCAATAGACAAGACTAATGAGGATTCAAGTGAATTCATTGTTAACACTCATCTATCAGAGATAAAATGTGGTGAATCTAATGACTCAAATGAACATTGGACCAGAAGCAGGAATATCAGGTTAAAATAGTAAAATAGTTTTTGACAGATAATTAAAATCACTCAACAATAAAGAATAAAGCACAGAAATACCTGTAATTTGTGCAGCCAGCCCTTCAGGTAAAAGCAGTGCTTTGCTACATATATTACACACAATTCCTAACATAAGAAGGCTTTAGAAAAGGCACTTGACATTCCAGACAGAATTAATCTCCTGTTTGTAGAATGCCAGATGTAAGTGTAGAGTGCCCTCTGTTGGTACAGCGGTGAACTTTGTTCAATTATCCCATCGACACTCTTTAGGGATAAAGCAGTTTCTCAAGCCTGTCCTCAGGCGTGTCCTGGGGACCCCAGACAGTGTGTTTTTGATCCCTCCAGGAGCTGGGAAACAGCAAAAACGTGGAGCATTTATGAATAAAGAACGAAGACCATTTTATTAACCATTGTACAACAAACAGCTATGCCATTTTTACATAAACTTAAATATTAACTTTAAAGCCCTTAACGTCCCTTAAATACCTCATTTAAAAGCAAACATCACACCACAAATGTTCATTTTTTTACCAAGAAAAACAAGCAAAATAGAAGCACAAATGACACTAAGTGCAATAACATACTCTCATTTACAGCCATAAATATGAGTTGATTCAACTCACTCTCACACAGATAACACATAAACTGTCTGATACCCCGTGACTCAAAAACAACAGAAAATGCATTTAAAATATTTTAGACTTTTTTTGACGTCTGTAACATCTTCCCCCATGTAACATATATCCATTGTTAATTTTTCATTCAAGTTTAAACAAACAAGAGTAATTCAGAGTAATTTAACTAGTCATACTTTCATTAATATGGCTTAGCAAATACAACGTAAACAAAATTAACGAAATTTACCTTTTTGGAAAAAAAACGTTACTTAGTTTCATATTTGTGTACATATACCCAAAGTGTTGTAATTTAATATCAATGAGTTATTTAAAATATGTCTAGCCCAGTTAGATACTTACAAGTACTTAGATCAGACATCCTTTCTCTTCCATTAAAATTTTCTGTGCATGATATAAACTTCAATATTCCACAGTGAGCAGTGCTGACGGCATTATGAATAACGGTGAAATCGCTACAACTTAAACTCCAATTTTTCTCAGAACAGCTGCTCTCATGCCAACTCACATCCAACTCGTGGAACTTGCAAATACGAGTTCATCCAGCACCCCCTGTTGGTTGTTTATTGGAAATGCACAACAGTCTGGTACGTGAAATGAAATTCGCTGAAACCGATTGCCTTTAGCCTGCCAATTACTCGTTAATAATCAGTGAGGTCTCTTAAAACAGTGAAATGAGCATTAGACCTCTCTAATGCTATATGAAGTTAAGGAAAGCTTCCACAAGGCCATACAGCGAGGCGAAATGAAGATGCACTCCATAAACCCAGCAGAGGTAGGCGCTGCTGACTGACATCGCTAAAGAAACAGTAATGTTACTATCCATCTCAGGTTGGCAAGCAAATGCAAACTCATAAGCAATAAATAGAGTTAAATATAAAAGTTCAATACAAGTAAACAAAGCTCAAGACTGCTTTTGGAACCTCATCAGTGACCTTTGAAATCACTGAGAGTCTCGTGCAAGACACATGTTTCTCTTCAGCGCTAACATTTCATAAATAACTGCTGAGATGGTCTGGCACCTCATAAGGGTCTGCCCTGCCTCACTGTGACCCAGCACAGCATAAAAAGCTATGAAATATGGGTGTATGGATGGGTGAACTAATGTGTTAGTTTTCACAGGCAGAAAGGTCTTGTATATATAATTTTTTTCTTAAATGCCAGAAAATCTTCGATCATCTACAGTGTTGACAAAAAAACACTGGAACTATGAAACTGTGCCATTCATGTCTACGTCATTACAAGGTTGTTTCTTACGATACAGAAGTTGTCGGCTTACAGACAATATGCCAAGAAACCGTTGGTGGATTCAGAGTCTTACCAGACATTAATACTGGATTTCACTGGTATAAGCCCAAACCAGTCTTTGAAAGATGGTCCTCTATTCAGTGTTTGAGCCACTGGGTTTTTTTTCCGCCTTTCAAACATCTGGCATCGCTGACAACATCCAGAAGAGCCATGATACTAACCCACAAAAAAAGACTCAAAACACAGTAACATGCTTGGAACATTCACAAAAGGGAACACTAAGCTTTTTTATAGACTACAAGCATTTCCCAAACAATTATTAAAAGCATTCAACACGAAAGCGATGTAAAAAAATTCTTAACTCTATTTTTTCATAACTTTTCTTAAAGTTATGAAAAGTTCTTAAACGCAGTGCAGTGCCGGCGGGCGGCATAGATAGCGACAAACTCTGAAACAGATTTTAAAAATATATACATCTTTGATTGTCTTCTGCTGAATTCTCAGCATGTAAATGGCAACCTCACAAAATGGGGTCAGAATACTGCGTGTCACCGGTAGCAAGAAGGAAGAGCGTAACACTGGAACCTTGGCATATAGACCGTTCAGCGCATAACAGTCTCAGGAGCAGACGAGTAGGTCTCAATGAGGCTTATTGCTGGCATTCACAGATAGCCTCATCTGTAAATAGTAAAATTCAACGTCTGCAATCCAACCACCCAATATATTCTGCTAAAAAATGTTAACAATTCAAAATTGCTAGACTTTCTCAGCTACCAATCAGAAACTACATGTTTTGATACCATATCCCCATAGCCAATCATATTCCTTTAAGTCACCATAATAATGAGCGACATCCAGTCCAGTGTGTTCCCCAGCCTCGTGCCTTAGGCTGGACTGGAGAGCCTGGTGTTTTTACAGAAATCCCATCCATGTTTATCACCCCTAATCAGTCCGCTGTTGGTTTCACCCAGGTTACAACTAACTACTGTCTCAAACAACTTCTGTGCAAACACACCAAGTTTCTGTAGCTACCAGGGTTACATTCAGACCTTGAAATGTCTGGGAACTGCATGCTTTTCTTAAATAGTTTAAAATAAAAGTCTCAAATGTTCACCTGTGGTCACGATCATGGAAAGTGCCCATGAAACAATCAGGGGTAACAACCAAAAATAAACTGCATACAGTTTAAAAAGCAAGCCGGCAGATCCACGGGTTTATATAAAATCCATGAATGAAATTTTAAAGTTTTTTTAAATCAGAAGTTAAAAATCTGATTATTCTGTTCTTTTCATAACTATTGCATGTGTGTGACCATTAATGCCTTTCCGTGAGGTTTCGTAAAACATGACATCACATCAATAAATAGACATTGTGAAGCCCAATATAAACATATTCCAGTCTACTGACTAAAAGTGAAAACAGTCTCTGATAATTCAGGGCAAAGTGGCTCACCTTCCATGTTAAAATATTAAATTACAAGATTTATAGACTCGCACAAAACAAACTTAATGTGCGCATGTGTAAACATGCTAGTTAGTTCAAAGTGAACAGCTCAGTGCACCATAAGTATCCATGACAGGGTTCAATCTGCCTGCTACTCCAGGATCAAAGCTCACAGTTTAACCAGTCAAATCCCATTTTCTATTGCTATGGAAGCTGGAGTTGTAATTTGTTGTGAGTGTGTATTTGTGTAGCCTGTGAGTGT